CATACTGGAGGAGTACAGTTGCGCGGCTTACGTTGTTGAGTACGTTAACAAATCAAACTCCGATCGTTTTAACGGGGGACTTCAACATCGACGTACGACGCAACCAGACTCTGGTTGAATTCATGCAACGCGAGTTCCGTCTGCAGTATGTGCCAACGACGCCTACAACACTGGGCAACACTACTATAGACTTGACGTTTATAAGAAACATTAACATCTCAGTTATGCCTTTCGTGTCTAACTTCTCTAACCATCGGCCAATGCTAAACAAAATTATCATCGATTACCAGCTAGGACTCTGTATATTTGTTATGCTAAATAAAAGCCATGTATCCAATTCGTTACTTTCATTTCATTCCCATATCCCAAAGAAATTATTCACCTAAAACCCACGGCCGTGTCCCCGACACAGCCACACCTCGAGATTTTTTATACTTCTTTATTATTTTGTTCAGTTCCTACAGAAGCTGGAGATGTCAAGATATCAGCAGTAATCTGTAAGCGTTCCGATGTCTTTTTGGCTGGATTGAGTTGGGTTAGATTGGGCTGTATTGAGTTGAGTTAGGTTAGGTTAGACTGGGCTGAGTTGGGTTAGACTGGATTGAGTTGAGTTAGGTATTGTTAGACTGGGCTGGGTTGGGTTAGGCTGGATTGAGTTGAGTTAGGTTAGGTTAGACTGGGCTGAGTTGGGTTAGGCTGGATTGAGTTGAGTTAGGTTATGTTAGACTGGGCTGGGTTGGGTTAGGCTGGATTGAGTTGAGTTAGGTTAGGTTAGACTGGGCTGGGTTGGGTTAGGCTGGATTGAGTTGAGTTAGGTTAGGTTAGACTGGGCTGGGTTGGGTTAGGCTGGATTGAGTTGAGTTAGGTTAGGTTAGACTGGGCTGGGTTAGGTTAGGCAGAGATTGAGTTGAGTTAGGTTAAGTTAGACTAGGCTGGGTTGGGTTAAACTGGATTGAGTTAGGTTAGATTAGGCTGGGTTGGGATAAGCTGGATTGAGTTGAGTTAGGTTAGGTTAGACTGGGCTGGGTTTGGTTAGGCTAGATTGAGTTAGGTTAGTTTGGGCTAGGTTGGGTTAGGCTGGATTGAGTTGAGTTACGTTAGGTTAGGTATATTAGACATTATCCACATCTCGTCGTTTGGCCCCGTGACAGTTTTCGCTGCTACGCTCGGCGTTGGTTTGCGTTTTTGTATTGAGCTGCTGTATTCCCTATTTTTTTGGCCTTGTGACTTTTCGGCGTCGATTTACTTGAATCCTGTCGTGTAGCTTGCGTGGACTTCAATTGTTTTACGAGTGTTATGGCAACTATTTTTTGGGGGGCAAACACATTATATTGAAGAAAGTTCATAATATTCATTTGAAAGGGCACGATATTCTCCTCCGATTGGCGTAGTCAGATCAAGTAGTTGTGAATGGGTGTAGGTAAAGTAGGCAATAAAAAAGGCACATTACGGAATGACCGTCAGCCGTCTGGAACAGCGTTCCTACTTGGAAATAGCAGTGCTTCGCGGCAGAAATGCGACTGAATGTCACTCAGAGCTTGTGGGAGCTGTGGGATTTCATATACTTGTTGCCGTCTCTGATAGCTTCGTGCAAATTAGGTACTATATTGAGTGAGAATATTAGAAAAAAGCCCAATCTGAGAAACAAATTATATTGAAATCCAGTAGTTGTCAGATACAACAAGAAACATGTTAATGTGCAATTAATACCTTCCGTGAGAATAATGTAAACTAATATTTAATGCAACTAACAAGTTGAATAGCTTAAATAAAGCTCTGCGTAATCTCGTACATACATAACCACTTAAGTTTGCCTCGTTCATGCACGTCCTGCAGTTAAAGCATTACGTGGTTAATGTAATGCCCGTTGGACTGCAAGACCTGTCCAAGAACCATCAAATCCCCAAAAAATAAACTACAAAAAGTAGAATATTTCTTTAAAAACTATTAGTCGCTTAACTAAAATAAATTCCTGGTATATGACGGAACCAGAAGTTTCATTACCGTGTGGTTTCTATCCTATTCAATATTAATTCAGTGTGCACTCTGCAAACTTCATTTTTCTGTAAGCAACATCTTTCCAATGGGTACCGGGATCCTGTTCCGGGATGGGGTGGGGTAAAGCGCGGCCGGAGCGTGGCGCTGATTACTGACCCTCATCTGTTGTCGCGGTTACGAATGAGTGGGAGTTATGCCGCTCTCTCCCCCAAAGCGCCTTCATGGCGTGCAGCGGGACCTTTTCTGTTTACTTTTTCGATTAACATTTTTTTTCAATGTACGCTTAAACAACCCTTTGTCCCATTCTTTCCAGTTTCTCGACTAGTAAATCGCTTTATGCATTTCTCATCACTCACATTCATGCCACATTCTGCGCCCAACTTCTCTTCCTTGAATTGGTGATCCTAATAATATTTTTTGAAGTACAGGTAATAAAATTCTCCACCTGCTACCAAATATTCTCCTCAAACGCCCTCAGTCACTTAAGGAGAGGCCTAGATCCACGCGACACTTCGTAGACAAAGATGCCTTAAGAGAGATCTGAGGTTCTCACGGCAGCGAGTATGAAGATGGCGGTCTTCTAGGTTGTTTGCCACCTGTAGTCTGACAGAAGGGCGACTTCCCTGATTATGGAGGTGCGAAGCACCTCTGAAACGTCGGTAAACTTTTACCGGAGTACACGGCGCAGAATCCCAGAAGACAAGCAACAGTGTGTTTCACGAGGACTACCACCTCGTGGCGTTCCACAGTAAAATAATTTTCTACACATGCAATTCTTAATTGCGCTTCTAAACATTTTCATTGACACTTTAAGTTGGAGTCCATGCAAAGCGGACGCCGCAATAATACGCTATTAAATCTGATATGAAATTTTCACGGCGACTGAAGAAAATGAAGTCTCCTGAGGCGAACAGTGTTGTCAGCATGGAAATGGCTCCACGTTTAGGAGACTGTCGCTGCCTCCATCAACAGAGATTGGTGTTGTTACACGCAGTTGAAATGTGTGGACCGAGACATGTGAGTTAATTTATGACATGCATCCGACTTTGAAGCGTCTGGTGTTCGTAACTAGACGGCGAGATACAGAGGCGAGGTTTTCACTGCTGTAAGTGTGAATACGGCTGTATACTGGTAGACGCTTTCCAGCATTTTAGAGGTACTTGCTGTCTCCATCGTCAGAGATGACTTCTAGCAGAGTATACTGTACTTACTAAAGAGGAGTCTGAGTGGGTCCAAGATCTGGTCCGAACATGGCGGCGAGGCGAACAGAAAAAAAATTACTGTTTCTGCCGGAATACGAACACTGGTCGTCCAATGACGTTTTTGTAAACGACGTTCATGAAGCAGAACATTTAATCTTCCCCTAATACCGTGAAGACGGTTTCGTAACTCGAAGCATGTCGCCACAAGTGGATTCAATGTAAGACGCAATGAGAATCTGCTATGTGTTAATGAAGAGTAATATTTTGGATTAAAATTAAACGTCTTTAAAGTAATTAATTTCAATAAGCCTTCTTGAGCAGAAAATACTGGATACTGGGAACGACCCGTTCTTCAAGTACCTGAGCACTGCGGGTCCCAACTTTTCATTGGCTTGATCTATAGACAATCGGTTGGACTCCTTGGACGAGGGATCGGCCCATCGAAAGGCCTCTACCTGTACACAGGACAGCAAAACACAGTAAAACGCGGACAGACATCCATGGCTTGAGTGGGCCTCGAACCCACGGTCCCAGCGACCAAGCAGCACAAGGCCCACGCCTCAGACCGCGCTGCCACTGTGGACTCCTTGAGCAGAAAACAACGAGGAGAAATAATTTTTCCTTCTTTCCTGCAAACAATATTTCTCTTTTTATTTTCTTTTATAGATCCTACATCAATTCCCAGTTATCTTCATTATTTTCGTAAGGTACTTAATTAAAATTAATGTGTTTGTCGTGGTTGTAATCAACTGCAAACTACAGGCAACTCTCGGTTTACGAACGTTCGCTATAACGAACGTCACAAATCATTCAAAATTTCTTAAAGTCGCCAGTAGATAGAGTTCCTCATAAAACAAAATGCCAAACGTTTAGTGAACATAATTGTAAAATGTAAGTAAAGAAACTTTAAACATGTATTTATTACAATAATTATCAGAAAATTATTATATGTTAATTAGTACATGGTTTTAATGCTTTAAAATGGCTGCTAAAATATACGATATGTATCGTAAAAGCTCAGGAATGCAAGATGCATATAACGAACAAAAATTTATAACGAACAACGTCTCGGAACGGATCTCAATCGTAAAACGAGAGTTGCCTGATTTTTTACCCAAACCAACATTTTTTACGTTACTCCGCCATCTTCTTTTTGCATTTCTCCTCCATTAATTTGTCTCTGTGTTTGTAGGCGTAATCTCTTGCGTTCGGTAGGTTCTTGATGACACAAGTCGACAGAAAGGATCTCCTAACATTCATGTTTGCCGCCTGGTACCTGCAATTTGAAATATTAAAAGTGAAATCAAACCCTTTTTCATCGTCCATCGGTATTATCTACACTGAAGACAATTTTTATCACATTTCGCGGACACAGTTACAGAAAATATGTAGCTCCACATGCGATGATGAATCTCATGAAGGAATGCGTCTTCTGACATAAATAATTTATTTAATAGAAACATAATTTGAATGTCAGTGCATTTATGTAAAGAAATTATTCATTTTCTTAAAAATATATAAACTTTTACTTCTGGGGTTCTAAAATATCAGAGATTTCGGTGTCGAATAAGCATAAAAGAATTATCTTTGCGAGTCGTAAATGGAAAAGTGCTTGAAGCTAAGGGAACAGCTTCCACCGAAATGTCGTTGCTTATATTTTGTTTCCAGACAACCATAACAAAAATTCCTCCAATCGGAATTCAATGCAAGATTGCCTCACCATATTTCAGAACGGTTCCCTGCCCTGCGTTCATTCTACCCCCTTCCTCTCACCCAATTTGCGCGTTGTATTCAAGTCCCTGATTAGCAGTAAGAACCTCTGAAACGTCGGTCAGTTTCTACGTCACTACACGGCGCAGCATCCGCAAGATCGCGGTTACCTTGACCGGAAATGATTCACTTCCTAATGCTTTTCGAAAGTAACACATTGTGATTGTACAGTCCTGAACAATAAAAAAAAACCATCGATTTTCCTTGTCATTGAAACATGCGACGCGGGATCCGAAATGGCCCTTGTCAGAATATCTACTGATGACGAAGATCGTGTCGTCGAACACTTCTGCATTTAAATAATCTGAATAGAAGTTCATGGCAGGGACCTCAGTCCACGTGTCTTCTGTAGGGTCGTACTTTTCAGTAGAGAGCGCGTCTGATGTCCAGTTGCGTCCTCCTGCACACACACACACAAATTCCGTAATAGGTCAGAGCATATAAAGAAAGCTACCAAAGGGAACTTATCCTAACCCCATTGAGCGGGAACCTTCTTGATATTTGTAACTGTCACCTAGCCACGAAATGTTTGAACTTTATAGTGCCACAAGTTTCATTACCTTATTCAAAAAAACCGGTAGTTGACCTCTTCTCACATAAGCTAGATCCTTAAAAATATTTGATTATTCTCCTTCCTTTTAAGGCTATAAATTACAAGTGGTATCTTATCTTCAACATTACCAATTATAACTTCTAGATGTTTGTATTTCCCGTAACTTCAATGCTTCACACTCCGCCCTTCTTATCCGACGGACTTTACGCTCTTAAAATTTGTAATTCCGTAAACGGAACGAATGAAACAAATACAACGAAGAAATTTCATTCCCTCCTGCAGTGTTAATATTAGTAGCAGGAACGAAGTTAAGGATGAAATAGCTTTATTATTATTATTTATTGTTCTGTCTGACGACAGGTCCATATGAACAGGATCCTTCGATCCTTTTCTCGGACTGGGACCTGTTCATATACTTAAAACGACGTTACAAAAACAACTGACGAAAAGCAAATACTGTGAAGGGACTGCTTTAAACCATCGGCTTTTTGGGGATAACAGCGCAGCAAACTGAAATCTCCTTGCTAAAAGAACAAAATATTTACCTTCAAGACTGGGACTGTGTGAAAAATGAGGCATACCTTAATATAGATACCACAAGAGATTATACAATGTTAGTTAGTTAGTTAGTTAAGTTTTCTTTGTGGAGAATTTAATCGAAACCACGAATCGGGGTTAAAATTATTGACAAACTGACTCTGTGATGACAGGAGAAAATGCTGTTCATAAAATCTCAGTCACTCAAAGAAAACCAGGAAAACATTTCACAATAGCGATCTCTGTAAAAAGGATAGAGGGGCATCACTCGGAATGTCCAGAGTTCTCACCTAGGGCGTACAGACAGCCGTGGAACGCGACGCAAGTAAAATCCTCACGTTCAGAATGCATTGGTGCAACGAACGTCCATCGGTCGGTGTCCGGGTCATAAACTTCCACCGAGTTTAGAGAATTGAAAAGACTAACATGTCCACCAGCGACGTATATTTTGTCTGTAAAAACAAATTAGCTATAATTAAAGTGGTCCATGCAGAGCACAGACATGGGACAATCCCTACTTAAATTGTATTTAATCTCCCCCTTCGAGTCACAGAAACTGCACAGACACGGCCGTCTCTGTTCATCTGTTTCTTTGTTTCGAATGCAGACAGTCAGCGTCTCAAAGGAAATGAGAGTAACTGATAAAATTTAATATAAACAGTACAAAGTGCTTAAATTAATGTATAATGTAAATGATGGTAAGTTACGTCTTCTGTGAAAGGAATTTTATTAAATTTGGTACCGGAGATGTACGGTACGAGCTGCCAAAATTTGCTCTACATTTATAATATAATGCGCTATTAACACGAGATTAGTAACTGTCTCAAAAACATATTAAATCTATATTATTTGAGAGCCAGTTTGATAGTTTGGTGGTTGTTTACACTTAATCCTAGTTTACACTACAAAGGCAGAAGACCATGTCGAGGGACAGCTTACAAGAGCAGAAGAAACCATCACGGACTCAGAATTTCAAGCCGTTGCTGTCTGTGAAATAACGTAGTCCGTAGCACGGATAAAAGAAGGAGATAATAGAAGAATATTGGGCAATGGAGTGGGGGAAACTAAGATCAAGTTTAAGAGGAATGCCTTGATGATGAAGGCGTAAAGTTCGTCTGAAACGTCGGCAGAAGCGAAACGACAGGTATCTTCATACTCCCCGCCGTGAGAACCTGAAATCCTGAGATTCCTTCAACCGTCCTTGCGGTATTACACGCGGACAGACAGACAGACAGACGCCTCGCCTTCTACTCTAATTCACACATTTATATTTAACAGCATTTACGTACCATTCAGTGCAGCCGCACTTGCACAGCGTCGCTCTGTGTTCATGGGAGCGATCCACGACCACTGGTTTGTCTTACAGTCGTATCTTTCAGCTGTTCTGAGATCTTCACGATGCTCACACTCGTGACCGCCCATGGCGTACACTGCACCTCGCAGAACTGCCACACTTAAACTGCGTCTGAAACGAAAATAAGTACACGCTCAGCTATGCTCATTTACTGCTGATGGAGATGCATTTCCTCTCGCAAAACGCAATTGTTCGCTTGTCATTGTTAAATCTTAACTCAAATGAATTAAAATGCAAATCGCATTCTTAAAACCAACTTTGTCGCAAAAGTCCTCCGACCTATTCACACTTTGCACGATGCTCCTGTATGTGAGTGGTACAATTTTAAATCCCCTGCCCAGATTTATATTTTGACTAAGAGAGCGACTATCAGCTTTTGAAGAAGGACTGTGCTCCAAGGAGTTCCTTAGTTAGAAATCTGCATCTTACCTGCGTTCATTCATAGGCGCCACCTCGCGGCATGTCTTCGTAACAGCGTTGAAGCAGAGACATGAGTCTAAGTCTTTCCAGTCGTCGTGGCCACCGATGACGTAAATGTCGAAATCGACCACTGCCGTGCCATGGTTCATTCGAAGACCGATCGAGTCGATCCCCCCCACCTGCAGGAACGACAGGTAATGGTTTTACGTTTCTTTGGGTCATTCGGTCTACTGATGTGAAGTCCTTACATTAGAGTC